TTTGTCAATGACCAGTAATTATACAACAATATTTGGTGAAGAAAGTTTCCGTAATACGCCAAAATAGCTGGATTTGATGGTAATATCACTGATAGTCAAGGTACGGTGCAATTAATTCGAGCACCTAAACTTTCTTTGTTGATTTGTTTCCTCTAAAAGGACATCCCATAAATCAGAGAATGTTATTTTATTAGGAAATTTTACTGTTTGGGTCAGACTTTCTATTCAACCGCTCTGATAGAATTGAATTTTCTCTTGACTTTTTAAAATATCACCAAAGATAAGATTGTTGACCCATGTATTTGTTCGGTGGTGCCTATACATGAGTTTTCACTTTGGCTTAAGGTCAAAATCATGCAAGCTTTCCTTTTGCTGTATGTCTGTAATCTGATCTCGTTGCACATGATGCCTTATTGGATATCCAATTATTCTGACTCTACCATAGTTAGTAATCAGTCAGCTAAAGGCAATTTAAGTATCATATGCATTTTTATAACTGTGTAAGGTGATGAAGCGGTAGTTTGAGGTTTGCAAGCCTATGATTGGACTGTGGAATCATAAGATGTTAGGGCTGATTTATTTATCCAGAAAAGAAAAAGAGTTAAGAACTGATTTGTATTAATTGTTGGTTGTAAAAATGCAGAAAACTTGGGGGACTTTGATTAGTAACCAAATATGACAGAACAAAAGCTCATGATTTGTTGGTGCTACAAGTAATGCTCTACAAAGAGAAATGAAGATTGAGTAGGAATACTCCTCTAAGTTAAAGCTTTATTAACCACTATGCACCAAATTAGCTAGAAAAGCTTCACAAGAAAAGTAAATAAATTCAGATTTACAAACTTTATTGAGTTCAAAGAACTCATCAAGTTTTTGTCACCTTTCTTATTTCCTATTTTATACAAGTTTTTAATACGGGAAAATAGAGCAACTTCTATTGTTTGACTTTTGAGATCAGGAGTATTCTAAAATAAGATGCAAACACTTTTAAGTAACTAACTGAAAAATCATTAAGTGGAATAGGAAAAGATTTATTTACCTAATGCTAAGTTACCAAACAGAAGTCTCTGAGTAGCTGTTCCGGATACAAATCTACAAATCAGAATTTGGTTGAAAGCATGACCGAGAAAAATGTCTGGTTTCCACTTTCTTTTGCTCGTCTTCTGTATCATTATAGTCCTGGAATGATGGACTTTTTGTATCAATGCGAAATTTGATGTCGAGTTTGACCCTGTAGCTTAATATTGTGCTCTCTAGCTCGTGCATTTAACAGCGGATGAGGCAAGGGCTTGTGACAGTAGTTCTAGGGAAAATAATTCATTTGGGTCATCTTATTGGCTTGCTTATTTTACAAACTTCAAATGTGGGTAACATTACTATTTGTTTAAAACGGATGAAATTGAATATGGTTAACGTGAAGCCAAAAATGGTGTCTTATGGATGGCTTGGTGAATCCACCACTGACAGCCTTAGCTGAAATCTTGTGAAAGGTAAATTGACGGAAGCATCCTATTTAGTGACTGAATAAGGTCTTGGATTTCTTACTTCTGCAGAAATCATGCGAACATCGGCATTGTTGTCAAATCAGTTTGTAGATCAGGAAAGGATGGGACAAGAGAGTCCACATAGGTCGTTCAGTCAACAGATGAATGGAGGTCAGATAAATGTAGGGGCGTGGAGTGCAATGCAAACTGAGGTATGATAAGTTTCTTTCTTCATGGAAATTAGCTTAGGTATGTATGGCTTTTATGGGTCATACTTCGGTATGTAATCATGTCATGACTATTGTTCTTAATGTGGTCATACACTTCCATACTGGTTCCCTTCAATTAAAGAGTGTGGCAAGAGTTATTAGTATAACATTGTTGATTTCAGTAATATGATTTTTCTTGATTCTCAAACTATGTGTTTTTATAGAACTTAACTAGTTAATTGCTCTATTTTTAGCATTCCTTTAATTTTAGAAATCAATTGGAAGTGAATTACTTATGTGTTTCCTTGGACACCAGAGGCTTAAAGCACCCATTCAAGCATTGTAATTGATGTTTCTTCTGTATCTGAGCAGTTCTAATACTGAATGTGGGAATTCAAGCACTGTAATTGTAGTTCACTTTCTTAAGCTCCAGAAATACTGAGCTCAATTGGTAGTTTCAACATCTATTTAGCTTGAGCCTCAGGACACTATGCCTGTCCGCAAATGGAAATGTTAGAAAGAATTGGCACGTGCAGTAGGTGGGATTCTCATGCATCATTATCAATAATAGTGCCTTTGTTGATGATGGTATTGCCAACTCAGATGTTATTACGGACTTGTTGCTGTTCACAGAAAATGTTATCTATTAATTGTCTTGTCGTCCTTGCATGTGGATAACTTTCATGAAAATATAACCTCCATTTCTCTTCCCACTTGTTGCTTCCATGTCAAGCAAAAAACAGACCCTAATTAGCCATAATTAGAAGGGGAAAAAAGCACTTCTACTCTGGTGTTAGTCAGATATTGTAGGAGTTGTTAGTCGTAGTCCCCAGTATAGATACTGTAGCTGACACCTCTTTGCTTGTGTAATATATTTGTTAATTCTATTTCATAACTTAAAGGAGTTTGAGTAACTGCTTGAGGACATTGTTGGAGGATTTACCACTTGATATTATTTACTTACTACAGGAAAATAGACTCCTCCAGAAAATGGCTCCATTTCAACCTTCCCCTCTGGATTGGCATGTTGTGCCAGGAACTGCAACCACTCCTGTTGTGAAGAAAGTCATAAGACTTGATGTTCCTGTAGAGAAGTTCCCAAATGTATGTGAAACCTTATTTGAATGATGTTTAAGGTTGCTCATTGTCTTCCTAAATTTTGAAACAGATCTTGACCAAGTTAAAATCATGCAGTTTAATTTTGTCGGTCGAATTCTGGGACCACGTGGGAATTCCCTAAAGAGGGTTGAAGCCATTACAGAATGTAGAGTCTACATCAGAGGTCAAGGCTCAGTGAAGGACTCTATCAAGGTATTGGTCCCTCTTACTATTCTTGCTCAATAATTGTTAAAAGAGTAAGCTTGAATAAATTAACATTTACTGTGCCTTGCTTCGTGAAGGCATAGTATGCATCTCTAAGAGAAGTCTGTCTCTCTCTCTCTCTCTCTCTCTCACATACACACATCCTTTGTCTTTGTCAGAGTAGTTGTGATGTCCTGAATCTTTTTGTTGTCTAAATTACAAGTAGTAAATTGCTCAAGGTGTATTGTCTTTCTCTTTTGCAAATTCACATTGTTCTCTCCCCCCTTGTGTAGGAAGAGAAATTGAAAGATAAACCTGGATATGAGCACCTCAAAGAGCCACTACATCTCCTGGTGGAGGCTGAATTTCCGGAAGACATCATTGACGCCCGTATCGATCATGCAGTTTCAATCCTAGAGAACCTCTTAAAGCCTGTGGTATGAGTTAAAACGATATAGCTGCTGCCATTTGTCATCATTTGCTTTCAACTATTATCTAGCCCTTTTGACTTTGTTCTCCCTCACTTTGCCTGTATCAGGATGAATCTATGGATGTTTATAAGAAACAACAACTAAGGGAATTGGCCATGCTAAATGGTACATTAAGGGAAGAAAGCCCAAGCATGAGTCCTCGAATGAGCCCTAGCATGTCTCCATTTAGTAATACAGGAATGAAACGAGCAAAGACGGGAAGATAACACCTATTCTTGGTCAGGGGACCCTTAATTGCTGGAATGCTAATCACCTGTCTAGTGATAGACACAGAATATAGCTTATCCGCCTGATTAGTACGACTTTTGAGTCTGCTTCTGGTACAGAATGTAGGCATCCCGCAGGCAGCTTCTTTAGATAGGTCTAATATGGCTTTTTTCTGTAACCATCTTTCCTAGAGGTTTTGACCTTTAGTCTTAATCTAGGTTTATTGGTCAATGTGTTAAAGCAATTACAATAATTTCATTCTTATTGAATACTCACGATGTTTCGTGTATTATTTTAATGCAGACTAACTGCTTTAACTTCTGAATAAATATATTGAGAACAAGAGCTTGATATATGATATGCTGAATATCTCACTTTAAGTTGTACCAATGCTTCAGTTCCTTGCTGTTAAACTGTAACTTCACGCTGAAGTTAGTTCTAACTCTAACCTGCAGTCTTTTGTTTGTTCACTACGTGAAAATATAGTAGACAGCCTAAGAACTTTGATGGATTATTTGGTCAATGGGGACTCCTTGTTCTTTCACTAGTCCTATTTGTTGTTCCTTTGTAAAACAATAGAAATATTTCCATTTGAGCTTTGGGTCAATTCTTACTGCTGACTAGTCATCAGGAACTTAAAAGAAAAGAAAAGATGCACCATGTGAGTAAAAGTCCAATATTCCCCCACCAGCCTTGTTATCGCAAAATAAAAGAGTAAGGAAAAAAGAAGAAGAAAGGCACTGTAACACTACCCATTAAACTGCTTCCTTAATCTATAAGTTCACATTTTTTAGACAATTATCAAGTTTCTTTTTCATCTCCTTTCTTTTGAGAATGATGAATTGTAGTCTTGGACAAATGGAGGTTGAAGATTTGGCACAGGTTGAGTGGCGAGGAATAAGGGAAAGCAAAGGCTACTGAAAAGTAGTTCATTAGTACAGTAAGCAGTGCCACCATTTAAAAAGGAGAAGAGGAGGAGAGCAAAACAATAACTACCCAGTTTAATCCCACAAGTGAAGTCTGGGGAGGGTAGTGTGTACGCAGACCTTACTCTTACCCTGGTAGGATAGAGATGCTGCTTCCGATAGACCCTCGGCTCAAGAAGACGAAAAGAGACAATAGATTAGTAGTAATAACAACAAAGGCCAAAAAGATAATACCAGCATCCTAAGAACCAGAAAATCGATGGAAGGGAGGACAGCAACAATCCCAAAATAGATATGAAGAAAGTTCTGTCCAGAACCAAGGGATAGTTATGTTTTGGACCAAACATTAAGGAACTTCATGGATATTTAATGCTTAACTAGTATGTCACAAGGATGGATTTCTTATTAAGGGAAGAGAGATCATCTTCCACTCACACAAAAAGAGAAGGCCGAACATTACATCGGAGGGTACAAAAGTAAATGTGTACACTTAGATACAGTTTAGCTCATTTGAGCTTTTGTGAAAAAATATACCTCTTGTTTCAAAGCCATCTAACAATCTGCAAATACCTACTACACAACTATTACAGAGTGAATATGTGAATTGTGAAGGATGAATTACATTGCTGAGTTGGAAGGGTGACCTTTGGCAATATTTGTCATCCATCAATCTGTCTCCAAAAAAAAAAGAATGCATGATAATTTTGGTTCTGCTAATACTGGTACATATTTCTACAACTGTGAAATAAAGATTCTCTTGATTATGCCACGATTCTGGAATCATCCAACCCATTGTGATCTCTGAATTAAGAATCTGAATTTAGGATATTACTTGCATCTGCACGCAGCGTAAATAGTAATTCAAAGCAAAAGTCAGATGCAAAAAAAACTAGACTAGTCAATATAGATAGTTGACAGCATCGCATAGTATTACAGTTTGAGCAGATATCGGATACAAAAATTATAACATATCAGCATTTGGAAAGGAAAAAAAAAATGACACTTCCTCATCAGCATGACCAGTTCATGCACCAAGCAATGACACTCCTCAAAGCCTAAACAAAGGATAACATAATTGCCAAGTTATAAATGATAAAAAGAAACTATGTAGGACATACCACGTCCACATCCAACAATCGTCCTGGCCCTCCCGAGAACCCCTAGGTGTCAAGGCCGAATCAGAGAATTCTAAGAAATGGGTTACATGCCATCACATTCACCATAGAAAAGTATGTATTTCACAGAAATGAATCTTGACCTCCATAGAGCATACAAGCACTGACCTTAAAATTTTTAAGAAAAACTATTACGGCATTTATGTAAACCATTAAAATTTATAAGCTCATGCTTATAAAATATGATAAGTTCCACATCCCAATATTGTTTGCCAAAATAGACAGCCACAACGCAGAATTTCAGAATATCGGGTTAAAATATTCAGCAAATGAGAAAAGTAAAATTGTGTTGCAGCTTCATATTTGACAAAAGAAGTTGTACAAACCATATTAGCTTGATACAATTTTGAATTAGCTAAGGGGAACCATGTTTTTTTTAAAGTATAATAACAAAGAGTAGACATGCTTGATTGGTTGCAACTTACTAACAAAGGAAATAGAAGAAGACTGTACGAAATATAAAAGCATACTACAGAAATGTCGATAGTTAATTGACATTTTCTTTGGAAAATACTAAAGCAAATTAACAATCTTTATCAAAAGATGACTCTAAGACTACCCACACACATATATAAGGTGATAAACATAGCAAGGAACACATTGAGTAATATTTTCTCCTTGCTTCCCATTTTTATAAGACAAAGTCTGGCTGAAACTCTGAAAGAGTTACTTTGCTCAGGTATGACACTGATAGTGGTAAAAGCATTTTTCATATCATACTGAAGTTTCTGTATATGTTTACTATAAAGACACCAGAACTACATAGTTTAAAGTTTAAACTATGATACAGTTGATCAGTGTTAGTATGCTGAACATTTTGAGACACCCAAAAAAGCTAATGTCTTCTTAAAACAGTTGTGCTAACAGCATTATGCTCACCACCAATCAATAATTCCATGATTCCACTAAGATCTAGGAGTAAAAGCAGAGCGAAATTGCTTTTTTCCTTTTAGATTTCCAAGAAAAAGACCAAGCACAATAAGGAGCCTCACCTCAATACATTGATTGTTAACATCTGGAACAAATTTAATCCCGAAGACCGAGCTCAAGCTCTAGCTCATCATCTTCTTCAAACAACTTTAGCAGACGAGCATACTGCTCTTCGCGCTTCTTCTTTTGCCAAAACTTGAAAAGGAAAAATGATAGAAGCACTATCACCACAAGGGCAAGGCATACAACGAGTATCGTTGACCCAGTGTGACTGCTGGATGCAGCATGAGTATCAGTTTTTGTCCCATTTTTGGGATTTGAAGAATCATCTGAAAAGCCTGAAAGTGAAAACACACATATAATGCAATCAAACTGACAAAATGAGACCAAACTCAAATATACAAAAGCTAGTTCATGAAAATGTAACCACAAACAGTTTCGATGGGGTCTGTTCCTGGTATCTTCGAACAAGGACAAAAAAACATCAAATGATAGAAATGCTTATGGGAAGCGAGCTTTTCAAAGCACATTGACTCCATCTCAAGGTTTATTCAGCCATGCAAAACCAGATAGATGGAAATAAACCCAAAACCATTCTTACTCACAGATATTTGGCTAACCTTAAAGGTAAAGGGCTCGTTTGGTACGAGGGATAAGGGATAATTATTCCCGGGATTAAATTTGAGATGAGTTTATCCCACACTTGGTTGGGATAAAATCATGGTATAATTAATCCCCGGATTAGTTATCCCGGGAGTGCAATGTTTTTTTATCCCTATGGGAGGGTGGAATAACTAATTCCAGGATAACTAATCCCGGGATAATTAATCATGAGATAATTGATTTCCAACCAAACGACCCCTAAGAGTACTTGTTGTGTACCTAAAATAGATAGATAAGCATATCTCCTCTCCAACAACTTAAAAGTTAAGATAAGATAGTCATATAGTTCAACATAGTATCAGAACAGACATCACGAGTTCAAGTCTCGTTGTCATTTATTATCAGAAAGAATTTTCGCGTGTTTGGAACTGCATCGAATAGAATATCTCTTGAAACAAACCATAGTCATACATTTGGAAAAAATAAAAAATAAAATCTGAAGCTGTAATTGAGTTTATGTGACATCAAAACAAGATCTTTTTCATTTCCTTGAATTTGTCAAAAGACCCCAGTTTCAAAGTTTTCTCATCCCTAGTTCAAAATACATGCTTAAAATAATGGTGATACCCAGATAAATAAAATTACACCGATAATAATTAGCAAATGACAACCTTTTCACACAACCCTTATCCCAATACAACAGTAGAATCGAAAATAAATTACGAATTTTCCATAACATCGGACCATTACAGCCCCATTTTAGCTTCCTAGATACTCAATTTCTATTTTTTTTAATGTTTTCTTTGATCACACTTATTTGTACATTTTCAAATATTTTTTGTTTTTTAAATGTATAAAATTTCTTTTCAAATACTTGACAGGACGGATCTAAGAGAAATATTTGCCAATATAATTGCGATATGACCCATTAAAATCGACATAACTAAAATATAATTGAATGAATCTGATTATTGGTAATGTAAAGATCTGGGGAGAATTCAAACCTGCGATGAAATTATGAGAAAAGGAAAGGAAGAAGAGAAGAAAGGGAAATGATGAGACCCCTCTCATCTCTCTTTGTGTCTATCTGCCTTTACTCTCTAAGGCTTTTTCCTTTTTCTCTCTGCTATAGAATTCCTTTTCTTTCTATGGTAATCTCGCCCTCTCTGCTCTCCCTCGGTTTCCTTTGTTTCTGTTGTGAACACATACATATATTTTTGTTCCTTGTTTCTTTTGTCACGCACAAACAAGGTGTTTGGGTAAAAGCTCTTTTCCCTTATAAACCAAATTTAGTTACCCCAAACTTTTAGTAGAACTTTTCAATATATAAGTTCTTATGGTTTGATGAAACTTTTTGGTATTTATTTCTAATATTTTATGTAATCATCCTAATAACCTTTCCAAAACAAAACCTCTAACTCCCTTTGTATTCCAATTTTGCAATTCATCTTTTTTATTTATTTATTGAAAGGATCTTTAAAATTTATACAACAATAAAAAAAAAGAAGCTCATCATATAGTACTTGTTTATCGGTAAAACGGTACAGTTGAATTTATAACGTGGTTTATAGACAAACGAATCGATTTGATCTCAAAGTGATGAATAAACTAAATGAAATACAAGACTTAGCGTTGAAATCGAGATAAGACAACAAACAACTTGGTTCCGGGAGCAAGGCTTCCGAAGACAACAATAAGAATATTGATAGACAAAAACTAAAGTATTATTGAGCTTAGAATAATGTGTAGCATAAGTTTGACAGAAAAATCATGTCTTACAATGGTTGTTGAAGTTACTATTTATAGCTACACTTAGGGAACAAGGACCTAGGATCAAACCCCTCTTTATAGCTACACTTAGGGAACAAGGTCCTAGGATCAAGTCACTCTTAAATGACAATTATGGGGGGCCATTGATGAATGTATAACGGCAGGTGATGAATGCCAAAATTCTTTGTAACAGATTGTGTATTTAGTACTGAGGAATATTCTTAATTGAATGTTGTCAGGTGCTAAATATTCGTTTGCCCTCATTAGCAATATTCCCTTAGGGGTCTGTCCGGTGCCAATCGAAGCTGCTGTCCTCGATCTTGGTTCCTACTTGCTTCGTCCTCCGTCTATCCCTAGTTCCACCTGTCGCTTTATTATTCGAGCATTTAATATGAACCGATTTTACCCTATACAGATAGTCCCTCTACTTTCCGGTGGCACATCTTTGTGTCGTTGGAAAGTCGGTGAAGATTCCTTTCTTGGCGGGAAATTTTCTGATCCCTTCTAAAAAGTTTCCGATGCTTGATTAGATGCACGTCTCTCCGTATTTAATATTTCCTGAACACGTATCACTCCACGATTCAATAATATTTTTGCCGGTTCTCGAGGTAATTATGGCCGCGATTTTAGTGGCCTATTTCTTTACTTATACGCCTCATTCTTCTTCTTTTACGCTTCAGAGTACTACAAACTCTCTTAACTTCTTTGCATTCAACTCTTTTTTGCTTTCACTCTTCTTTAATCTTCTTCTTCAAAGAACCGTTATTACCTTCTGCTGATCATGGTTTCTTCTTCCAAGAACACATGTTCTCTTTAAAACAAAGAAAAACCCGTTGATGCTGGCCTCCTACGGTGAGCACCATTATTCCCATAAGACTCAACACAGCCAAGGACTTTAAAGAGAAGTTTCCTTCTACAAGTTCTCGTACATGGGTTGTTGGTGTATATACTTCTTCCATCCGTCCTTCCAGCATTTATGCCGTGAAGGAGGATTGTGATTGCCATGTTCTGAACATTATCACTCCCTAACTGGTGGAGCGAGTAACCTTTCCTAAGACGGGCTTCATGTACGTTTATACATACCCATTTACTTTGGGTGCGTTTTCTTTGAGCAGGGGAATTGACCCCGTGATTTTGGAGTTGTGCCAAAAATACCAGATTTGTTTTGCACAGGTGGGCCCTTCGGTCCGGCGAACGGTAACCTGTCTACGACTATTGATACCCAATTTTCCCAAAATATTTTTAAAAATTGCATATATACTTCAAAATCATGCATCAATAGCAATTGGTATTTTTCCATAATTTTCTATACATTTTATTAATTTACCCAGCATTTTATTCCCAATAAATAATTACAGAATTGCATCACAATCGATTTCAAAAGCATATCTTGATTTAATTTATTATTTATGATCCTATTTAAACCAAATTATTTCATAACTAGCCAAATTGGCATCATTTGGCTACAATTGCAATAACTTTGCAATTATAGCCCAAGCATATGATTTTATACTATTTTTGACCAGAAATTAATCATTTTTATTTTAAAATATTAAATAATCATTTTTAATTATTTTCTATGCATAAAATCATTTTGTACAATTATCGGCCATTTTGTAAATTGTTATTAAATTTAATTGGGTATTTAACAAATAGCCAATTTCATTTCAATTCTAGCCTAATTAAATCAGACCCCAACCCAATTAAAATAGCCCAAACCCCAGGCCCAATCCATCAATCCTACCGACCCAATCCCTGGTCCAATCTGGACCGTTGATCAATTCTAATTAACGGTCCAGATCCCCCATTTCCTAATTTAACATAATAGACTACCCCCCCATTCTCTCATTCTCTCATCACTCTCCACCGACACACCCTCCCATTCTCTCTCAAATTCTCTCAAGCTCCCTCTGCTAAACCATGGTTCCTCTCTCCGGCCGTTGGCTCGCCGGTAACAATGGCGGTTCCACCACCACCCCTAGCCTCCATGGCTCCCCCCATGCCGGATTATTGCTACCCTAAGGTCCTCAAGGAACCAGAGGCGGTTCAACTCACCCCCATGGTTTTTCATGTCATTCTCAGGCCAATCTTGGCCTGTCCGAGTAAGATCCTGCCATCTCCGGCTAGAACCTGTGATTTTTTAGCCGATTCTCTCTCTTTGGGTTCTCTCTCTGAAACCCTGATTTTGACTCTTGATTTCTAAGATCTGTAACAAGATCTGAGCCTATTCGATTGTCTTTACTGTTTTTCTAAGTATTTCTCCGGTTTCTTCTAAACGACTCTTCGTCTTCAAACTAGGGTTTCTTAACCCTTTTTAAAACGCTTTTTTCTTCTGATTTTGGTATTAATCTATGACTTTTACTATGTTTAACGGTTTATTTAACCTTCTCCTTTTATTTGATTAACTATGTTAAGAACCCTAATTTTTTGGTTTCAATCTTGGGTTCTGAGACTGTCTTTGCTTATTTGCTCGTCTGATTTATGCGTTATGTCTGTTTCTCATGCATATGTTCTGAGTCCCTATGATTTCCTACTCCCTTATGCTCATTAGGGTTTCTGATTTTGCTTCTCCACCTATATTATGTTTACTTTGTCTATTGACAGAGATTTGTGGCAATTTCCTCTAATCAGTACTATTTCTAGTTGAATCCCGCTAATTTTCTGTGATTGATACCCTTTATGTTCTTAGGTAATATCCTTTACTTGATTTTTGACTTTAGCTTACTTCTTGTCTTATTACATGGCTGACTATATTATAATTGATTCCTACTGCTATTTCCTCAATTAGACCCTTATGTATCTATCCCTAATTACATGATCTGTACCTATGTTGCTTGAATCCTTTTCCTTATTTGTTACCTGCTTTCTACCGTTGGTAAAATTACTCCCTTAATTAAGGGAGACTTGGCTGATTTTCTTTCTTAATTGATTCTGTATTTCTATAATTGCTGAACAATTGATTCTTGCCTTATTTACCTAGCTTTCAAACAATTACATATACTCTTTCTCTTTCATTACATACACGAACACATTAGTTCAAAAACTCTCTCACACTCAAAAGGCTTTCTGCTTTCTTTCTTTGTTAGTTGCTACTATCCTGAATTAGCCGGCTGCAAGCCAAGACTGATTATTGTGCTCTCCTATTCTTCACTTTGTGTTACTATCTCTATAACTGGTATGTCTGATTTCAATTCAAGTCCCAAAAATAATATGTTTCTTTTCCTGCTTCAGTTCATCATGTTCCTGATTTGTTTCTAACTATGGTTTTTGTTGCTCAACCTGCAATTAACATGTCTACTTCACTATCTTCTTTACTGCATGCTTCCGAATATACCCCCTTAGGATTAGCCTGCTCTTGAATCCCTCTCTAGTATACCCCAATGTGACTATGTTTCTCTGATCCCTGGCATGCACCTTCCTGTGTAAAGTAGTTGTTGTCCTAAGTCTGTTTGATTCTGTATTACCCTGAAGTTCATGTTGTACTTTAAAAGCCTTGACCCCTTTCAAGGCTCTCTCTGATTCTTATACTTCTGTGCATCTGTGCTTACTATGTTCCCTATACTTACCCCAAATCCCATTACCCTGAGTGGATGTGTGTACTTGTTTGATTCCATGTATTGAAGTGCTGATGAACCCTTTCTGGTTCTGTATTTGGTTTGATTGATTGTTAGTCACCTTACCCTTTTCAAATTGTCTTATTAATAACTCCCTATGTTGTTTTGCAAAAAACTATTACAAACAAGTCTTTTTCAAACTGTTTTCATGCTTAAATCTTTTCAAAACTATGTCAAGCACTCTCACTCTACTCTCTTAGACCACTAAGTTCTCCCCCTTTTTGTTTATGAGCCTTGCCTTGGGTACCCTTGAGTCTTCCCTTCTGAACTTGGACACACGGAAGTTGGCCTTTCCACACTGTACTTACTCTGTCTTGGCTATGAAATCTGGGTGTGAGCACTGCCCGGGATCCCTTGAGGTCCTTAGGGAACTTTGACACACCCAGATCTAGTATGAAAGGCTGTGAACTAATGGCATTTGAGGCATTTTGGAGATTTTGGGCCTAGTCAGTAGGCTCCCTATAGCATTAACTTCTTTTTTTTATATTTCGATTGTGTAATTTTATGCTAAATGGTTTGTAATAACTATTGTAAACAACTCTGGGGATGGATAGTGGAAAGGGAAGGGGTGACTATGCATGCTTTAGCTATTGAAAGGGTAGAAAATATGTTATTAGGTTTATATTCCTACTTGCGCAATAGAAACCATGCTTAGGACTCATTTCATGCATTAGAGATCATGTTCCCTAGGACTTACACTTATTGTTTTCAGCATGTTCATTTCGCTATCCTATATCACTTAGAAAATCCTGTGTTAAATGTGTTAATAACCGGTGTTTTCTGCGATCATGTCCTACTGCCATACGCACTTAGAGATACCGCTTGTTTTAAGGCTAAACAGCACTAATAAACATATCATCCCTGCATATTCTGGAAA